TGAAGCTTTGATGATGAAGAAACACAGACTTTCCCTTCACTGGGAACTTCTCAGTCGTGTTTGCATGCCTTTCAACAAATGGAACATGTGTATTCAAGGGACAGACAAGGACAGTTCTCATGATGTCATCCTTCTTTGCTTTCTGTTATCCTGCTTAAAATTGCCAATTAACACTTTTTTTTCCAACGGATTTTTTTATTCAAGAAAAGTATTGCACTATTCCTATGAGCAAAACACATTTTTCAGCTGTTCTGAGTATACCACATTTACTAAGACTGGTTTTCCAGAGGTAGAAACCAGTAAGCACAACACAAATGTTTTCCTCTCTCAGCTCATGGTATGTTTATCTTCATTTGTACATGTATAAGCTTGGAAAGGAGAATCTCTGTAGGTGTTTGTCTCTTCATACCAAGTCTTGGGTCTGAGAATAAAGCTGATCAAAATGGCCATAAACTTTGCATAGTATTTTAGGTACATTACCACTGACATAATAAATTTCCTTACTGCTGTGGGATACTTCTTTTGGTCCAGCCCAAAATAGAATTGGCCTTTTCTTTCCTGTTTCTTTGTCAACAGCTATTTTTGCAAGGTTTTCATTACTTCTTAATTGTTTAAACTTCCTATTTTCATTTTTCTTGTTAAGGACTGATTTTACAAATGAGTTCATTATCTCTACCATTTTAGACTCATCATTAATTTCATGCTCCTCATTTATTAGTGGGCCTATTTCTCTCTGGTATTTGTAGTATTTCTGAAATGCCCTTGTTTTCTTTGAGTCCCTTATGATAGTTTTATTGCATTATTTTTATGCTACTGGTATCTTTCTTATGTTTAATTGATGTATATCTATTTTATTCCAAATAGCAAGTTTTCCCCCACTGGCTTTAATATAAGGTGTTCAAAAGACACCTGTGTTTACCCTTCGTATTTGCACACCTCATTCTTCAAACACACTTTAAATCTGCTCTAGTCTACTTAAAATATCAAGAGAAGCAGCACTGACAGAAAGAATTGAGACAATTCCTCATCTTGTAAATGCATTACTGTATACAATAAATTTCTTAACCCTTAATTAGTGAAGAGATTCATGATAGTTTTATCTGCTAGGCTGATAGCAACTCATTATTCAGCAATGTCCTTGGTCAGGTTACATAGCAAAGCAAGGGAATGGAATTTCTCGTCCTGAACTCAGAGGCATTTGAGATAAAAATGGACGTGGTAGCTCTAAATAGAAAAGCCCAAGATATGGAAAGCCTGATCTAAGCCATGGATACTTCTGAGCAACATCAAACAAATCTCTGGCCTTTTCTTTCTAGAGGAATCACTTCATCTTTATTTTGATTCTTACTTCTCTATGTCTTTGAAATGTGGTCATGGAAGTTGGGAGAGAAAAAGATGTGTTTGTATGTAGAGCAGTTTGGCTAAAGATTATATGCTACAAAATAATAATAAATAAATAACAACTTTGCCTACTGTAATACAACAGGTCATTGGATTAGGAATCAGGAGGCTGGGAGTTTTAGTGCAGTTTTTTGTTTCTTTCTCTCTTTTTCTATTATTTCCACTTTAGAAATTGAGATTTCTTATTTGTAAAATATGGAGGTTGAATTGGGTAATAGTGAAGACTACTGATACCTTTTAAGTGTTCTATGTGATTCTCAAAACTGAGAAGCGACCAAGTCAATAGGAGTTGTTGGACTCCTCTGGCCAATTTAGTGTCTTCCTTGGAACTCTAAATGAGCCTGGTCACTCCATACACTATCCATGTGGTAACTGACAAAGGCAAGGCCTGAAAGACATCTGTGTTTGGAGATATTGTTCAAATATCATTTGCCTATCTCTGGCTAATTTTATTTTCATTCCAATTTCACTTAGCTTTGAACTTTGAGTCTAGGTCCTGAGTCTGAGCTGGTATGCATCCCATCTAGTAGCCATGTCATTTTTGGGGTTCTCTGTGACACATGACTTCAGCATTTCCTCAGATGAACTACCTTCCTTCTTTAACTCACCATTATGTTGTTAGGTGGGAAAGAACTGACTATCAAAGCTATAGATCCAAACAAATCATATTCTTAACTGAACTTCTTATTGTTTTGAAGGTGCTTCAGAAAACGCTTTCTTACCTTTTCTGTCCTTGGGGAAAATCCTCTCTAAGTTATAGCTTTGCTATTTGTAAACTGCTAACTCACTTCATGAACGCTTCTGTGAAAAATCAAATGATTTCTGTGAAATTCCTTTTTAAAATGTCTTATGAATTCCTATAAGTAAATCTCTAAAATAATCACTTCCTTAACACTAAGCCTTGTTCTTTTCATGAATTTGTTGTGATTTGGATATAAAGTCCCCTCCAGAGAATACCTGGGTGTTGAACACTTGGTTGCCCAACTTGGTACTGCTTCTGAGTGGAGAATAAAGGCAAACCTCATCAATGGATTAACCCATTCATAGCTGAATGTTCTTGGAGGGCATGAGGCCTAGGTGGAAGAAGTATATTACAGGGATGTAGCTTTGAAAAGCACAGCTTGTTTACAGGCCCTTCCTATCTTTTAGGAGGTAAACAGGTCTATCCTATCACCCCCCTTTCGGCCTCTGTCTAAAAGCAATGGAGACTAGGAACTGTGGATTGAATTCTCTGAAAGTAAAGGATGCAATGTCTTCCCTTCCTTGTTTGTCTTGTGTGTTTGTCATGGTAACAAAAATGAATACAATATCCTTGATTATTTGAAATATACCTCATATTTTTCCTACTTAATTGAAATCATTTGTCTGATATTTTTCTACCTAAAAGATCCTACTGATTCCACAAGTCTCAACTCAAAGATGACAGCCTGTGTAGGACCTCCCCTTTCTCCCAGCCAGAGAAAGTCATGTTCATACCACTATCCATTGGAGCTTTGTACGTAGTTTTAGCTACAAGAACCTTATAACACACTTTGCAGATGTCCTATGTGGCCATATTGGAGCTGCATGGTTTAATTAAACCCTGGAACAACCATAAGATATGAGTAGTTTTATTGTATTTATTGTTTTGGTGAGAAAATAGTGATAAATATGTTGCTGAGACTCAAGGAAGGGTCTGGTAATGGTCTGGGGCCAGTGCCTTAGTCCTCACATTCGATCTTAACCTTCCAAAGCATCTTCACAAGAACTTGGCAAAACCCCAGACTAAGTTTTACCCCCACCCACATGACCTTGGTTAAATGGTGGAGGGCTTTCCTGCCTTGCATCTTTCCATGTTCTACCTTTCACTCTACTACCATCCAAAGTGTTTGCTTCCTTCTCATAATAAGGGCTTTTAATAATAGTCATATTAAAGCCTCTGCTGTCTCTGTTTAGAATTTTTAAAGTTTATATTCAATTTTGAGATTTTTTTCTTTTATTTCCAATGAAATTTGTCTTTTTAATGGAAGTTTTAAATGTCTCTGTACCTTTTGGTATTTCTGCTATCTATCTAATTTAGCTCAGCTTAGTTCATAGGTATCTTTCTAATCTCCACAATGAGAAAGGAAGTTGTAGAGTCCCCTGGGTTTCTGGTGGAGACAATGCAGCTTTCAAGTTTATAGTAACCTTAAAAAGAAGCCTTCTTCACACAAGGCTGAGCTATGTGAAGTTTATATGCTAATACAGAATTCTGAAACAAATTCATTTTACACAACACAAGCCATAGGAAGTTGAACGATTAAACACTTGTATATCTACTGAGTCAAGGATCTACCTACATATTAATAGTTTTATTGCCCCAATTTTTAATCACTGAGATATGCCTATATTGAATGCCAAACATCTACAGAGGCAAGGCGGCCTCAGTGCTTCCTTAAGTATTAGGATGTTCCCAAAGACTTGCTTGTCAGGCAAGAATTCAACCGAAACAGTGCAGAGTAAATCTTGATCATATAACTAATAAGTGGGTAATGCAAACTCAGCTATTTATGTGGAATACATTCTGGGGTGGGGATGAAATACTACATTAATGAACTCAGCAATATATGATATCCAAAAAGTTATATATGTGTACATAATTATATTTGTGTATGTACACACAACTACATCATCTTTTGAATTTTTCACATCTGTAAGAATTTGTGGTGATCTTTGGTATTCATAATGATAACTTTACATTTTTATATCATCAAAGACAAGTGGGTTTCTAATTTCCATGACACTAAAGAAGAATCATGCATTTGAGAAATATTTTTAACTAATTAAAACAAAAAGAGCCATCTCTTTCATTGCAGAATTAAAATAATAAGAACATGCCATATTTTCAAGCATTTCTATTAATTTTTTTTACTGTATTTTAAGATAGGAAGTCTAATCAAGATGATCTGAGAAGTATTTCAACTACCAAAGATTTCAGGTCTCCTTTTCAGTTTTTAGACCGTGACTTCTAGGGAATGTTCTTCAGACAGAAAACCATTAGCTTGTAGAATTTAACACATATTCTTAGACACTTGCCCCTAAAATCCCATTTCCTTGCCAGACAAAGATGGCGTCCTTTCTACAGTTGTGTGGAAGCACACGTGACAGACACACACAGATGCGGAAGTGGTGGAAGGAAGGGGAGCAGGGTCTGGGATGTGAGGAGACAGCCGCTGTCTCGGGACTTCACTGCTCTTCTCACACTTGAGTGATTCAGGTAGAGAAACAGTTTGGGGATATTTTGTTTTAAACTGTATCATCCATTACTTAAATGCACTTTATCCACCAAGATATGGGGGAGTTGGCAAGGATTTACAACATGCCAAAAACATTTCCTGAATCAGAAAAATCGTATGTTCTGATTATGGTTTCTTGAAAGGTATTAACATGCTTACACATGTCTGTCCTTTTTTTGCATTCCCCCCAAATTCCCAAATACAGTATGAATATTTTATAGCGATGTTTAGTAATGAGCACTGAATCCAACCTTAAAATGACTCCTCTCTTAATTAGCACATTAGTCACTCAGTAAAAATTGAGAGGGATGAATTATTCAAATATAATTCAGCAGAGACTCGGAGCAAATCTAAGGGATGAAGAAAAAAAGGGAGCAAGGCTGCAGAGTTGCTTTTCTCCTCAGAAGGTTAAAGAGGGACCCTGCCAAGCTACGGAGAGAGAGTCAGGAGAGTCACTCATTAGCAGAGGGACTTAGGCATCTATGGCTGCCATGTCAGTGGTGACCTTGAAGCACTGATAAACACCAACTGCGGAAGGGGAGAAACACGGTGATGAGGTAAAGATTCCTTATCTTCTGCTTTCGTAGCTTCAATTAAGCCACAGTGAATTGTGCTGTGTACAGCTTGAGGAGGACTCTCACGAGGCGTTCACCTGCTGCCTGAAATATTTTTGAACTGCAAAGAAATGTTCATGTGGAAGGTGCTTGCCCCAGGATAATTCTCTAATCTAATGTGGAGAAATGATATGATTAGCAGTTGGGACTAGCAAGGAGAAGCTAACGGGAACACACGTGCGTGTGTGTGTGTGTGTGTGTGTGTGTGTGTGTGTGTGTGTGTGTGTGAGAGAGAGAGAGAGAGAGAGAGAGAGAGAGAGAGAGAGAGAGAGAGAGAGAGAGAGAGAGATTAGAGCTTTATTTATGAAGCACAAAAACCTGTTAGAGAAAGAGGGACCGGAACAAATAAATAGCAATAAGATAGTAAAATTGGCAATTGGAAACAAAAATTACTTTTAAAGCTGCAAAGTCAAAGCCATGAAAACAAGAAGGAAAGAATGATATCCCCACGAATTTAGAATTTCTCGTGAAATTCTTCAAAACATAAGCAATAAACAAAATGTGAATCCCGCATGATAGATTCCAGGTCCCTGGATTTGTGTGAAGACAAGAAATAACAGGGCTGATGGGACAGTTGCAATGAAAATTAGCCTGGCTCTCAGAGTAATTTGTCTACAAGAGACATCTGCCCTATCTCTCTGTGTAGTTTGGTTGTGTCTGTCCCTTTCCAGTTTTTGTTACTTTAGTCAGAGAAAAACACTTGTAGAAAAGAAGCCTGATGGGTTGGACTTTTTCATGCTGAGTGACTAATTTACCTGGGCTCAATAGGAACTAGTTTGACATTAGTCTGGTATTTGCCCTTAGGAAAGATCTCGGCTTTGAGACTCCAGTCCCTTCAGTGGCTGTATGTAGAGGTGGGTTAGTTTATGATAACCTTGACAGCTCATAGAGCGTTGGGATAAATTGAACTCTAGGAGGCATAATCTAACAGTCAAAATCTATATCCCATGCTAAAGCTGACCCAGACTGACCTCTTACCTCACCAATCAATGCTCTTCCATTTACCCAGCAGCCCACTTGGGTCATCAGGCCAAAATTTAACCTCACTCAATCCATAAATAACCATCATTTGACTCAAATATTCTGTTCTCCTATCAATCATTTGTTTGTAATACCTTGACCACGGAACAGCTTTGGGCCAAGGCAATCTATTCTTATCTACAAGCAACAACGGTAGAGCAAGCAAGGCTTCTAGAGCAGAGACCCTGTCCTTCCATTGGGCCAACATAGGCCCGGGAATGCCCATTCTCAGCTCTAGCCTAAGAGGGATATGTAGAGGGTAGTTTAACTTAGCTACAGTTCTACCACTTTGTTACTGAATTGATCTGATGACAACTTTGCTGTCTTTTTAATGGTTCCTTCCTTCTTTTCTTTTCCTTTATTTCCTTCCTTGCTTGCTATCCTGGAATACACTATACAGGCAAGAATGACCCTGAACTTCTGATCCTCCTGTCTGCACCTCATCCCATCTGCTGCCACCCAGCCAATGTCAGCTAGCACTGTGAGCAGTCGAAGAAGATGAGAACTGGTTACCCTTAGTACAGTGTATGAGGCCAAACAACAGAATGTCGAAAGTATGAATGAAAAACAAGTTTGCTTCACAGCTTCCAGAGTTTGAATTTCCTCACCAGCTGGAGCCACTTCACCAAGAAATGTGAACATTTTCTCAGAAGCACACTACTATATGAACTCTATTGTCACAGTTTTATTAACAACTATATCAAATATATTTTCTGACCTATAAGTACAAATCATCCTGGTGCCTTTCTGTCCATTGACTAAGTCTGATAACTTGAGCAGAATAAAAGCCAGTATTTCTCACTTGATTGTTATATGGCTATCGTTCACTCGAGCTGTGCAGCATGACTGAACTGATAGAGAAGGGAATATGATTCTGATATTAATTCTTGCTCAAATGAAAATGCTTTGTGTGTCAGGCTCCAGTGGATTCCCTTCTAATTTCCTTTTGCTCTGTTTTACCCAAGCCATACTCTGCTGTTGTCATTTGGTATTCTGAATTCCATAAAGCCTCTTCTGCCCACCTCACCCCTTTGCTGTCTGAGAATGTTGCCTTGAGAGGCTGTGCTAATTTAGTGGTCCACACGTGTCCCACACGGACTTTTTTCTGCCTTCACATTCGATTGTGCAGCTTATGTTAGCTGGAAATAGCTTGTCTTTTAGATTGATTATTTGATTGTTGCTATTGTATTCACTATCTCTGATGTTAGAAAGCACAAGATTTAGGCAGCTCTGGGGAAACAGAACACAGCATTGTATTTTCTTTGTAAGAGAATAAGATGCAAAAGGATTAACTTAAACATTGCTAAAAGTCAGCATCTAAAATGAGGACTGGCCACTTTGGATGTCAGTGTGGTGGTTTCTCAAAAAACTGGGGATCAATCTACCACAAGACCCAGCTATACCACTCTTGGGCATATACCCAAAGGATGCTCAATAAGGACAGTTGCTCAACTATGTTCATAGCAGAATTATTCATAATAGCCAGAACCTGGAAACAACCTATGTGTCCTTTAACCAAGGAATGGAAAATGAAAATGTGGTACATTTACATAATGGAGTATTACTTAGCTGTTAAAAACAAGGACATCAGGAAATTTGAAGGAAAATGGATGGAACTAGGAAAAAATCATCGTGAGTGAGTCAACCCAGACCAAGAAAGACAAACATGGTATGTACTCACTCATAAGTGGATATTAGCTGTAGAAAAAAGGATAACTATAATACAATCCACAGACCCAGAAGGATGAGGTAATAAGGAGGCTTCATGGGGAGGACATCTGAATCTCCCTGGGAAGGGGAAATAGAAGACATTTTGTGAGTGGACTGAGGGCAGGTGGGGATGGGAACATGAGTGATCAGATTGTGGAAGGGATTTTTTGTGGGGGAAAAGGGAGAGAGTACTGAAAAAAACTACTGGAAAATGGAGGGCATTTTAGGATCAGGTAAAATCCTGGTGCAACGGAATCTCCCAGAAATCTACAAGGATGACCCCAACTAAGACTCCGAGCAATAGGGGATATGTCTCCTGAACTGGCCCTCTCCTGTAACCAGGCAAGACTTCAAGTGGAGGAAGTAGGAAACCAACTCAGCCACATAACCTTTGACTTACAGTTTGTCCTGCCCGTGGGATGTGACAGAATTGGTGCCTAGCCCAACTGTCATTAGAGAAGCTTCTTTCAGCAACTGATGGAAACAGATGCAGACCCACAGCCAAATATTTGGCAGAGTTTGGGGAGTTCTGCAGAAGAGGGGGAGAAAGGAGTGTAGGAATGAGAGGGCTCAAGGAAACCACAAGAACCAAGTAATCAGGGCTCATGGGGGATCATAAAGACTGAATTGACAACCAAGGGCCTGCATGGGACTGACCTAGGTACTCTGTATATGTGTTACAGTTGTGTAGCTTGGTCCACTTGTGAGACTCCTAACAGTGGGAACAGGGGCTGTCACGGACTCTTTTACTGACTTTTGGGAACCTACCCCTCATGCTGGGTCACCTTGCCCATCCTTAACACATGCAGAAGTGCTTAGTCTTACTGCAGCTTGCTTTGCAATGTTTTTGCTGATACTCATGGGAGATCTCCCCTTTCCTTAATAGAAACAGAGGAAGAGTGCATTAGGGGTGTGGGAACAGGAGTGGGGTGGGGGAGGGACTGGGAGGAGAGGAGGGAGGGGAAACTGCAACCAGAATGTAAAATAAATAAATTAAAATAAAAAAAAATGGAGAGTGGCACTGAAAAGGACCAGAGGGAGACTATGACACTTTGCAAGCTGAAAGGTAGGCGCCAGCACTCTGCTGTATATGTCCTATCCTGTCCCATCAGCCATAGGATAAACAGACATAAACCATCAAGGCTACATTCAGGTAAAGCTTTTTTTTTTTTTAATATAATGAAATCTAAATTTCATATCATATTTGTATGTAATAATACTCCTTTTAAAACTTTTTTTTCTAACATTTAAACACTATTTGCAACTCACAGGCAACCCCCATATTCTCATCCAGTAAATACATAGGTTAATGAATTCAAACTGGATGGGGGGTAGAGGGGAGGGGGAGGGGGATGAGATTATGAGGGAACAGGATGATGGATCTGGGAGAGGGATGGAATGGGAGAACAAAGAAAGAGATACCTTGATAAAGGGAGCTATTATGGGGTTAGGGAAAAACTTGGTGCTCGGGAAATTCCCAGAAATCCACAAGGATGACCTCAGCTTAGACTAGCAGCAATAGTGGAGAGGGTGCCTGAATTGGCCTTCTCCTGTAATCAGATTGGAGATTACCCTAATTGTCATCATAGAGCCTTCATCCAGTAACTGTTGAAAGAAGATGCAGAGATCCACAGTGGAGGACTGGGCTGAGCTGTGGGAGTCCAGTTGACGAGAGGGAGGAAGGACAATATGAGCAAGGGGCAGTCAAGATCATGATGGGAAATCTACAAAGACAACTGAACCAAGCTTGTGGGAACTCAGGAACTCTAGATCAACAGCTGTGGAGCCTGCATGGGATTGAACTAGGCCCTCCGCAAGTCCTGTAACTTGGTCTGTGAGAGGGGCCCCTCCCTGGCAGTGGGACCAGGATCTGTCCCTGTGCATGAGCTGGCTTTTTGGAGCCCATTCCCTATTGTGGCATTCCTTGTTCAGCCTTGATGCAGGGAGGGGAGCCTTGGTACTGCCTCAATTGAATGTACCAGACTTTGTTTACTTCCCATGGGATGCCTTATCCTTTTGGAGGAGGGTGCAGGAGGAGGGGTGGGAGGGAGAACTGTGGTTGGTATGTAAAATGAATGAAAAATCTAAAATAAAATAAATAAGCTTTAGAAAAGAAAGAAAGTTCTCAAAGAAAGAAATATAAATGGCTAATAAATATTTGAAAAAGTGTTCAACATCCTTACCATCAGGAAAATAGATATTAAGAATATTAAGAATATATTGAGATTCCATCTCCTTCCAATCAGGATGGCTGTCATTCGGGAAACAAATGCTTGTGAGGATGTGAGCAAAGATTAACACTTACACACTGCTGACTGGAAAGGAAACTAGTGCAGCCACTATGAAAATCACTATGGAAATTGCTTTAAAAAAATAAAAACCTAGAATCAAGAACTACTGTATGATTCAGCTATACTGTTGCTGGGTAAATACCAAGAGAACTTAACTAGTTTTTTCTGCATTATTCATAGTAGCCAATATAAAGAACCAATCTAGATGTCCATCAACAGATAAATGAATAAAAAAGTATGGCATATAGACACAATAGGATTTTATGCAGTGGTATAGGGAAAATGAAATTACATATGCAGAAAATGAATGAGGCAAGAAATTATTTTAAGCAAAATAAGCCACACTAAGGAAGATAGATATTGTGTTCTCCCACATGCAAAATCTAGATTAAATTTGTGTGTGTGTGTGTGTGTGTGTGTGTGTGTGTGTGTAGACATGAAGGCTGAAAGCAAAGTATTAGAGGGGAAGAAAGGAAAACAGGAGGTAAAGGGATTAAGAAAGGGTACTGGAATTTACCGGAATTTATGTTTTATGAAAGCGGAAGGGAGACTATGTCTAGGAGGAAGGAGACCAGGAAGGGGGGTTGCACACTAAGGATATGAGGAGGATAACTAAGAACATACTGTGACATATGTGCATGCTAACCAAATAAAATAAAGTACAATAAAAGCCAGGAAAAAAACCACACAGACTCTGCCTTAAGCCTGTGGATCATGATTGCTGCTTGGATCTTACTGAAAACAAAAATAATATTTTTTTTCTTTTACAACATCTCATCATTGTTAAAAGCTGAAGACTCAAATAACTGTGCTCCATTTTCCTAGCATCCCAGATTGCAGAGGCAGCCAGGTGCTGCTGCGTGTTGAATACTTCATTAAAGGAGTTGCCCTCTTACCCCTGGATGTTTTCACCATTTCCGTCTTCTCTTGGAATTTTCAAATCTTAGAAGAATCTTCATAAGTGTGGTACTGCTCTGTTTAATGGGAAGCCTGTTATTCTCAACTCGGGAAGTTATTTTGTGCTTACATACCATAATTATTTTTCTTTCCTTTGTTATACATACGTTTTGGTAATTTGCAGCTCCCTGATAGCGGAGCAGTTAGAATTCAGCACTCTCTCTGATGCCTACCTAAATGATATTTAATTTCATTGATTTATCATTGATGAATCTCCATTTTATGATTTTTTTTCTGACTCGTATTTTATATTTCATTCTAGGAAATCATCTAAACTTATCTTTTACAATAGCATTTTCTTATTGCCATAACAATTTAATTATTTTGTTTATTAATCAACTTTAAAAAACACTGTAATGTACAAGAATGATTATCCACTATATTTTGTGGTTATTGCTTTGAGTTTTGAGAGTGTTCCTCAAGTCAGGAGGTTGCCTGTCCAGTTCTCTTCCAAGGGTCTCTCACTATGGTCTTCATCAGCCTAATTCCAATACCTGGCTTTTCTTTATAGAGCCTCAAAAAATTAACTTATTTCTGGCTCCCTTTGTTTGATTTGGTTATGTTGAGATAAGTTCTTGTTAGGAAGCTCAAGCTAGCCTTGAACCCATGATCTTTCTACCTCAGCCTCCCAAGCCTGGGATCCTTTTGATTCCCTGAATTTTGTTCTCCCTTCACAGCTCCTCTCCGGCTGCACGGTTTCTTTGCGTTTGCAAATCTTTCCGTTGTCAGCTTTTGTGGAAAGAAAATAGAGGTTAGTCCTAGGCCTGTTCTAAGCAGGCAAGCCCAGGTGAGACAGAACAAAGTTGGGGGAAAGCAGCTGATTGGAGGCCTGCACTATCTCATTTGGGAAGAAATATGAGGAAATAAGCAAACTTCAGGAAAAAGGGAAACAAGGCTTTGTTTATAAGTCTTGGGTGATTCTACATTATATGTCAATACACTTTTACGAAAAGCGACACATCCAAGAGTATTTGGATGACAAAAATTGGTCCTGATAGGGGAAAAAAATTGCACAGACTTAGGCAGGAAGAAAAGAAGAATGAATCTTGGAAGAGTTGGGGGAGAGGG